CACCCCCCCCCAAAAATTCCGTCGTCCCCGCCCACCCCGGTTGGGATCCGCCCCCCTCCTGGCCTCGGCCAATCGCTGCGAGAGCCTCTGCAGGTGGGGGAGGTGTCGGGCGAGGCGAGCGGCCTCGCGCTGACCCCGCAGCACCACGGGCAGCAGCAGCAGCCGGGCTCCCACCGTGCCTGCAGCAATTAAAATTGATGGGTTAATTAATTAATTGGATGGGAATTGAAGAGAGGAGGAGAATAAAAAAAAACCCCGAGAGAATCGGGGCGGGAACGGGGGAAGGGCGAGGGGAGACGGGGGAGGGGGAGGGGGAAAATTCAGATTTTTTTTAAGGAGTTTTTGATTTTTTTTTCATGATTTTGTCTCCATCTTTTTTACAAATTTTTCCCAATTTGTCCCCATTTTTGTCTGATTTTTCCCAATTTTTTCCCTATTTTTCCCCAATTTTTCCCCATTTTTCCCAATTTTTTTCCGTTTCTTTCCCCAAATTTTCCCCAATTTTTTCCCCATTTTTTTCCCATTTTCCCCATTTTTCCCCAAATTTTTCCCCAACTTTTCCCCATTTTTCCCCAATTTTTCCCCAATTTTTTCCCCAATTTTTTCCCCATTATTCCCCAATTTTTCCCCAAATTTTTCCCAATTTTTTCCCAAATTTTCCCCAATTTTTTCCCAATTTTCCCCATTTTTCCCCAATTTTTTCCATATTTTTTCCCCAAATTTTCCGCAAATTTTCCCCATTTTTTCCCCAATTTTTTCCCCAATTTTCCCCCAATTTTTCCCCAAATTTTCCCCATTTTTTTCCCAATTTTTTCTCAATTTTTCCCCAATTTTTCCCCATTTTTTTCCCCAATTTTTCCCCATTTTTCCCCATTTTTTTCCCCAATTTTCCCCATTTTTTCCCCATTTTTTTCTCAATTGTTTCCCAATTTTTCCCAATTTTTTTTCCCATTTTTCCCCATTTTTCCCCATTTTTTCCCCAATTTTTTCCCAAATTTTCCCCAATTTTTTCCCCATTTTTTCCCCAAATTTTTCCTGATTTTTCCCCCAATTTTTTCCTGATTTTTTCCCCAATTTTTTCCCCATTTTTCCCCATTTTTTCCCCAATTTTTCCCCAATTTTTTCCCCAAATTTTCCCGAATTTTTCCCAATTTTTTCCCCAAATTTTCCCCAATTTTTTCCCCATTTTCCCCATTTTTTCCCCAATTTTTCCCAATTTTTTCCCAAATTTTTCCCCATTTTTTTAATGAATTTTTCCCATTTTTTCCCCAAATTTTTCCCAAATTTTCCCCAATTTTTCCCCAATTTTCCCCAAATTTTCCCAATTTTTTCCCAATTTTTCCTCAATTTTTTCCCCAATTTTCCCCAAATTTTCCCCAATTTTCCCCAAATCTTTCCCCAAATTTTCCTCAATTTTCCCCAAATTTTCCCCAATTTTTCCCCAATTTTCCCCAATTTT